GCGGCGCGGCGGGGCTGCCGCTGGACACGGCCGAGCTGCTGGACGTGCGGGCCCAGAAGTGGGTGGCGCTGCCCCCGCTGCCCACGCCGCGGGCGGGCGCCACCGCCGTGGCTCTGGGCAAGCAGGTCCTGGTCGTGGGTGGCATGGACTCGCGGCAGAGCCCCCTGGCCTCCGTCGAAGCCTACTACGCCGACGAGGGCAAGTGGGAGCGGAAGACCGCGCTGGCCCAGCCGTCCATGGGCATCGCCGCCGTCAGGAGAGGTGCGCAGGGTGGCAGCGCGCCTGAGCGCTTCCCCCGGGTCACGCAGCCAAGACCTGCGGCTGCTCGGCCTGGGGAGCCTGGTGGGGGCTTGCTCCTGGGGTCAGCACCTGGAGCCTGCTCCCCGGCCTGGGGGCCCGAGCCGGTGGGCTGGGGGTGCTGCTGGGGGGCCTGACCCTGGCCCAGTGGTGCTAGGGGTGCTGCCCAGCGGGGCTGGGGCTGGGGCTCAGCAGGCCTGGCCTGGGGTCCCTGGGCGTGATGCTTTGCTCTGCGGTCCCCTCCCTGGAGCAAAGGCACCTGGGTCCCCAGCCCCACCCCACTGGCCCTGGCTGCCATGCCCGGGGGCAGCATGATCTAGTGGTTAGGGTCAGTGGTCGGGTGCCATTGCCACCCTGTGCAGCCGTAGGCAGGTTGCCTCCCTGGCTCCTGTGAACGTGGGGCAGTGGCCTGATCCTGCCTGGTGCCAGATGTGTGCAGTGCCTCGGGGCCTTCCCCGAATGCAGCCTGGGTCGGAGCTGGGCCCGGGGCGGCTCGGCTGTGGCTGGGAGCTGGGTGCCCTGGTGGCAGCCAGCGGCGGGCGGGTGGGAGCAGCACTCAGCAGCATGGCTGGGTTGCCATGGCGTCTCCAGGGAGATGGCACTGAGCGAGTATAATTAGATGCGATGGCCTTGCGTTCTGTTCTATTTTCAATGTGCGCGTGGGGTGGGAGCCCTGGGGTGGAGTGGGCCCTGGGCGCCAGGCACAGGAGGCCACCTGCCCTGGTCTGGAGGGGAGCAGCCGGCCTGGCACTTGTTGCCCAGGGGCACCTGGCTCTGAGCTGCGCATAGATGGGGCGAGCGCCGGCTCCGCCCCACCAGCTCCCTAGCACCCTGCCCCGGGTCACGCGCCTGACGGTCCCTCCTCTTGCAGACAGTACGGTCTACGCGCTCGGGGGCATGGGTGCTGACACCTCCCCGCAGGCGCTGGCGCGGGTCTACGAGCCGGCCAAGGACCTCTGGCAGCCCCTGCCCTCCATGCCCACCCCCTGCTATGGGGCTTCTGCCTTCCTGCAGGGCAACAAGATCTTCATCTTGGGTGAGTGGCACCAGCCGATGTCTGGAGCCCCGCGCTGGTCCTTTGCCAGGGCACAGACACGTGGCCTGGCTTTTGACACCTGTGTGGGCCCTGCCCTGCCGTGGGTCCTCCCTCTGCTCCCCAGCCCCATGGGCTGCTCATGTGGGATCCTGGCAGAGCCCCCAGGCCATCTCAGCCACTCCTCTCTTGGCAGGGGGCCGGCAGGGCAAGCTGCCCGTCACAGCCTTCGAGGCCTTTGACCTGGAAGTGAGGAGCTGGACACGCTTCCCCAGCGTGCCCAGCCGCCGTGCCTTCTCCAGCTGCGCCGTGGCTGAGGGCTGCTTCTTCAGTCTCGGGGGCTTGCAGCAGCCTGGCCCCCACAACTTCTACTCCAGGCCCCACTTTGTCAACACTGTGGAGATGTTCGACCCCGAGCAGGGTGAGCTGGGGATGGGGTCCTCTATGGCCTTGGGGCTATGGGCATGTGGGTGTTGGGCTCAGCCTGGGCTGGGGGCAGGGGTAGAGGAGGCCTGTGCTTTCCTCAGCACACTGAGCTGGGCAGCCCCTGCCCCAGGCTGTGGGAAGGAAGAGGGCATCCTGCAGCAGCGCGGGGCCTCGTGCTGCCTCTTCCCTGGCAGGTGCCTGGGCAAAGCCGAGCCGCACCATCCGCATGCGGGACAAGAGGGCTGACTTCGTGGCAGGCTGCCTCGGTGGGCGAATAGTGGCGGTGGGCGGCCTTGGTGAGTGCTGGGGCTGTCAGGCTGGGGTAGGGCTGGGACCTGGCAGTGAAACCTCTGTGGAGCCGAGAAGGGTGGGGGCGGTGGGACCATAGGACAGTGCCCCCAGGACAGGCACAGCTGGGCCTCCTGGGCTCGCAGCTGGGGCACGTGAAGGGGACACTGCTGTGGAGCCCTGGGAGCCCAGCTGCAGAGCCCTGTGGCCCAAGCCCATCATCCCGTATCAGCACAGCTGAGCCGTGCCTGCTCACCGGGGCAGCACCTGGCAAACGGAGGGGAAAATCGATTCTGTTTGGGTCAGTTTCCTGCCCCGTCATGGGAAGTCAGTTACCCCTGTGGCGGGGGTGGGCGGCTACCAGCTGGGGCCACACTTGGCTGCTGGCTCCCCTTCACACCTGGGCATCTCAGAGAGTGTTGGACAGTTGCTGCCAGGCAGCGTTTGGTGCCAGCCGCCACGTCTCCTCTGTTTCCCCTCTCTCTCGTCACACGGATCTGGGCCAAGTGGCAGTGGTAACGCACCTGTGCTGGGGAGCGCAGCAGGCCGAATGGCAGAGCCTGGACTCACCAAGGGCTGTTGAGCAGCTCTGGGGCATGGCCCTCTGCACTGCTGCCCTGACAGGAGCCTGAGGCCGCAGGCCGTGGGGGCTGCAGGGACAGGGCAGGCAAAGTTAGCCCCTCGTTGGATCTGCACAGGGGCCACATCCCAGACTTGGGGTCAGGCTCCCGCCCTGCGCATTGCCCTAGGCTCAAGATCTCACCTGTGCAGGGCTGCCCACTCCTCCGCCTCTGCCAGATAAGGTTTAGCGCTGTCAGTCAGTGGCACAACCAACCCTGCAGGCAGGAGAGGAGCTGTCCCCAGAGCCCAGCTAGCATGTGTCCTTGGCTGGAGTTGCAGGAGCCAGTAGGACAGTGAATGCAGTGAATTTCCTGGGTGGGAGACATCTGGGCTGTAGCCAGCTCCTGGGTGGGCAGAGGCAAGCAGTGCCTCCCTGGCTCTGGCTGCCAGTGAGCAGCTGTGGGCAGGCTTGGGGGAGAGGAGGGAGGGCGTGGTGGGCCAGAGCCCTGGGGGGACCAGGGTCCCAGCCATGATTCCCAGCCAGGTGCCTGTGCGTTGCTCACACTGGGCAGAGACATGGAGCCCTGGTAGGCTTCCCCCACCCCTGGGCAGGCAGGAGGGGCTATGAGGCCCAGGCCCTGGCTGAGAGCCGCAGGGAGTCTGCTTAGGGTTGCCCATCAGTGAAGAGAGCCGTGGGGGAGGTCTCTTGCAATGCAGCACCAAACCAGCTGCCAGCAGGAGTTACCATCAGGGCTCGTTAGGGGGCTTTTGTCTCCGGCTATTAGCATTACTCTGGCTTCAGAACAAATGGCTTTAATTATGCACGGGCAGGAGGCAGGGAGGGAGGTGCCTGTATGCAGCTGGAGCATTCAGCGCTCCCCCAGGAATGGGCCTTCGCAGGTGTCGTGGGTCCCAGCAGGGGGCTGCATGGCACACGTGTGCAAGGCTCCTCAAGCCCACGGCCGAGGGCCTGAGACCAGGCTTGGCAGCGCAGGCTGGGCTCCCTGCTGCCTGCACTCACTGCTGGTCTCCCACTGCCATCCAGGCTGCTGCTTTTCATGGCAGCCACCCTGAGGTCCCACCAGGGTAGGCAGGAGTGTGGCTGCCCAATCTGGTGTGAGCAGCAACCTCCTGAGCAGAGGCAGAGGGCTGGGAGAGCGTGGGACTCAGCATTTACATCTGGGCCTGGGGCCAGCCCGCCAAACCAGGTGCAGGCGCTGGGCTGGGCTGGGCTGGGCTGGACTGCAGTGGTGGGGATTGCCACGGGCAGTACAGAGTTGCACCAGCACAGCCATGCTGTCCCCCAAGGGAGGTGGGAGGGAGGGGACCTCTCCCCCGCTGTGAGCAGGAGCTCAGTGGTGTGTATGTTCTCCTGCAGGGAACCAGCCGTGCCCTCTCGACTCAGTGGAAGGATTTAGCTTGAGCAGGAAGAAGTGGGAGCCGCTGCCACCCATGCCCACGGGCCGCTGCTCCTGCTCCAGCTTCCAGGCACAAAACCTGCTCTTTGTGATCGGTGGGGTGGCGCAGGGGCCCAGCAGCGCTGTGGAGGCACTGTGCCTGCGGGAGGGGGCCTGACAGCAGCTCCCACCGCCGAGGATCCAGCAGCAGGCCTGAGGACCAAGTGCCTGAAGACGGCGGGGTGTTAGCAAAAGCTGTAGTTACTGAGGCAGGCACCCGAGCAATGACGTTTTCTTTCGCTGTTTAGAAAACTAATTTCAGCTTCTTCAAGTCTAGAGTAGCTCGGTGGCGGGCGCTGGCTCCGTCTTGCCTGGGAATGGGGGAGAATCAGCTCCATCCATCCCCTCAGTGGAGCAGGGAGGGACAGTCCTCGGCAGAGGCAAGCTGGCATCCTGCCCTTGCTGGCCTAAGCTGCCTGTTGTCCAGTTTGGGTGTCCGTGCCGTCCTTTTGCAGCTGTATTGTGTGCCGCACAGTGAGGAGGCAGGAGGAGACGGGCTGTATGCTCATAGCGAGCGCTGTGTCGTTGTAGACCCAGTCTGTGTCTCATGTAGCACATCAGGTGCCCTGTAGCTCAGTGCCTAGGAGGTGACGTAGCACCTCAAATAAACCAACAAGTGGAATTTTACCCGTGCCGAGGCCTTGCATTGCTGAGCATCTGCAGGTAGCGCCGGAGGGTGGCCAGGCAGGGGAAACAGGCTGGCCCAGCCACTGGGGCTCCAGCAGCTGTGGGGAAGGGAGCATGCTGTGCTGCCTCTATGGGAATCAGGGCTCCAGTCTGAGTGGGGGCACACAGCTGTCACATGTTCTCATGTGTGGTGGGCTTCCCCTGATCTCAGGTTGGGCACCAGGTCCCTGTGCCCCCCAGGATCCCCTTGGCAGGCCTGCACCCCTGGGTCAGCTCCTCCTGAAGTATAGAATCACAGAAAATGAGGGCTGGAAGGGACCTCGGGAGGTCACATCTAGTCCAACTCCTGCTCAAAGCAGGACCAGCCCCAACTACATCATCCCAGGCAAGACTCTGTCTACCTAGGTTTTGAAAACCTCCAAAGATGGAGAGTCCACCACCTCTGGGTAACCTATTCCAGTGCTTCACCACCCTCCGAGTGAGAAAGTTCTTCCTAATATCTAACTTAAACTTCCCTTGCTGCAACTTGAGCCCATTGCTCCTTGTTCCATCCTCTGCCCCCACTGAGAACAGTCCAGGTCCATCCTCTTTTGAGTGCCCCATCAGACAGTTGAAGGCTGCTATTAAATCCCCCTCAGTCTTCTCTTCTCCAGACTAAACACAAACCAAGTTCCCTCAGCCTCTCCTCACAAGTTACGTCCCGCAGCCCCCAAACCATTTTTGTTGCTCTCCACTGGACTCTCTCCAACTTGTCCACATCCTTTCTGTAGTGGGGGGCTCACAACTGGACACAGGACTCCAGATGTGGCCTCCAATGCAGAATAGAGGGGAAAAATCACTGCCCTCGATCTGCTGGCAACGCTCCTACCAGTGCAGCCCAGGCTGCCGGTAGTTTTCCTGACAACAAGGGCACACTGCTGGCTCAGATTCAGCTTACCTCCTGGGCAGTGCATCTCTCCCTACAGCTTATCTGAGCCATCTTGTGCAGATGTATGCCACCCAGCTTCTCCGGCCTTCCTCTGCAGACCCTCTCTGTGTCCACCTCCTATCCGGAGACACCTTTTAAGTGTTCAATGTCTTCCAATCTCTAGGCTGCAGCCCGGCAGAGCAGTTGTCACTCAGGTGGGTGGACAGCAGGAGGAAAGAAGCCTCAGCTCCCTTCCTCTGACATTGCACTGACTCTTGACCTAAACAGAATATGTTCTTCCCTGTGTTGCTAAAGTCAGGAGCTCTGAGTGGCTCCCAGGGGAAGTTCACTTGTGGACTGCAAAGCACCAGCAGCTCTTCAACACAGAACTGCCTCTTCTGTGGCTCAGTCCTAGCTAACAGGGAGAGATGTAAGACTTCCCAGGCTATGCAGTGTGACCCAGGGCAGGGCCCTTACTGATGCACCCACGTGCTGCCAGGTGGGCTGGGCTACCAGATGAAGCCCTCTGCTAATGAGGGAGCCCTGCAGGCTATGGAGCCGCATTGGGAACACTAATTACATTAGAAATTAAAATGATGATGCTAATCAAGGCCTGCTCCAGATTAACTTATGCTCCAGGTCCCTGGCAGCAGACCGGGAAGTGCCAGGAGAGTTTGCGTGTCACCTGGCTCTTGCTGCTTGCGGCACAGCGTGCTAGAGAGTCTGTGCCTGTCTGGGTTCTCCTTGGACAGAGAAGGGGGATTTCATCCTCCTTCCCTGGCCGTGGGGTAGGAGACTCGCATGCCCCATGCCCTGCAATCCTGGGGTCTTGCCTGCAAGGCCTGAGTGCACTGGCCCCACCCAGGGGAAGCTGGAACCTCTCCAGAGGGGGTTGGGGCAGGGGCAGGCAAAGGGCTTGCAAAGGGAGTTTTACCTGGGAAAGCTATTCCCTGAGCTGCCCCACTCAAGGACAAGACTTGGACTGATCTCATGCTGCTGGGCTTTGTACGCCACATGGGAGGCAGTATCCTAATAGGCTACTCCCTGTGAGGCCTGTGGCTGCTAGCTCCACTCTGCCACTGGGGACATGAATGCAGAGAGGATCGGTGACCCAGCAAGGCCGCACAGCTGGTCCGTGGTACAGCCGGGTGTAGAACCCAAGAATTCTGGAGCCAACTCTGCTCTGATCGTTCTACCACCCATCTCTCCAAGAAAGACACAGGGAGAGGAAGAATGGTCTCTAATGAGCTTGGTGGGAACATCCACCCGCCTCATCTAACTGAGCTCTGTTACAGATGCCTGAACACATCCAGCTGGGGCCCTTTGCTCCTGATTAATAAGCTGGAGGAGCACTCAGCTGGCTCAGCTCTGTTCTGCTCTGCCAGCTTGTCCCTTTGCAAACAGTGTCATGTGCAGCCTGCAAGGGCAAGGTGAGGATTGAGTTGGGCCAGAAGCTGCTGCTGTATCTGGGCTAGTTGGCCCATCTCCTCTCCCAAGAAGGGAGATGGGGCAGAGGCTCCATGGAGGGCCATAGGGTCTTTGTGGCTATTGGTTTTATGTGGGAGGTGCTCAGGTAGGGTGGGAAGGGATGTCAGTGTAAACTCTGGGCTGGGGAGAGGGTGGATGGTGGGCTGACCCTCACGGACCTGGCTTAATTCTTCTCTGAAGTGCTTCCTGACACCTGGCCCCAAATCCAACACCAGGGGCTTTGAGGGACAATGGCCTGGGCACTTTTGCGTGGTCCTGGTAGTGAGACAGGGCTCCCCAGTTTCTGGCTTTGCAGGGACAGGGGTGGTTATCATCTGAAGATTGCCCCAGTGGACCACAGAGACCAGGGAGACCTGCATCAAATGAGGCAAACACACGTGTTCAGCAAGGCCTTTGACACCATCTCCTACCCCATCCTCATTAAAAAACTTTCGCGACTGTGGCATTGATGCCTACACAGTCAGATGGATTGCAGATTGGCTGAAGGGTCGCACTCAGAGGGTGGTGGTGGACAGGTCATATTTGACCAGGGGAGAAGTGGGCAGTGGTGTCCCCCAGGGCTCGGTCCTTGGGCCCATGCTGTTCAATTTCTTTATCGGCAATTTGGACAACAGGGTGAAAAGCAACCTGTTTAAATTTGCTGATGATACCAAAATTTGGGGTGAGGTGAGCATGCTA